ATGCTCCATATACAATGGTTCTTGGTAGGACAGTGGTGGAGAGAAATGTTTTTCCTGTCTTCCCAGGCTGTCAGCTATGCAAACATCCTTGAAAAGATAGTCTAGAAAAAAGCTGTCTCAGGACATGCAGATGTAGGAGACCCCCGTAGAATTGTCTCCTTCCATTAAGTATCTTCTATCTATAATATTCATAATGAACCTCTCAAATAATGATGGATAAGATATTAACCAGAGCCTTGAGCCCACGTTGAAAAATAAGTTTAGCAATTTTAGTAAGCTGAGATCTCTTATTTCCTTTGGGGAAAAAGTTTGCACATTTTTCTAGAATATAATAGATATGAAACACTAAAATAGCCTATTTTAGTAGTCTGATATAGTGGTCTACATTGGCCCTTTCATTTTTTTAACCTTTTTAATTTGAAATAAACTTTAGCTGATGTTTTATTTGTTAACTTAAGATCTTTTATTTTCATTTTTACTCATGCTATTTAGAAGTCAACATATAAAGAACCAATGCAATTGTCTTTAAAATTATATATATATATATAACTTTTTTATTAGTACATTATAGTTATACATAACATTGGGGTTTATTGTGACATACAAGCATGGAAGATAATTAGTTCCCTCCCCTCCTCTCTCTCCCTGTACCTTTTCTACTACTCCAGTAATCTTTCTTCTGTTAAGTTTTAATTTTTTAATTAGTGTTTTATAGATATACATAATCTCTATGAAAGTAAAATTCACTGTGGTATATTTCTATATGTTCATAGGATAGTTTGGTCAATTTCATTTCAGTGTCCCTCAAATTCCCCATCCCTCTTCCCTCCCCTCTACTCCACTAATATCTCTTCTATTTTCAAGGAATTCTACACACCCACCCCACCCACTCCTTTTCCCCCTTATTTTGCTCTAGCTTCCACATATGAGAGAAAACATTTGACCCTTGATTTTCTGGGTCTGGCTTATTTCACTTAGCATGATGTTCTCTGGTTTCATTCATTTACTTGCAATTGCTATAATTTTATTCTTCTTTATGCCTGAATAAAACTCCATTGTTTATATATGCCACATTTTATTTCTCCATTTATCTTTTGATGACCATTTGTGCTTGTTGAACACTTGGCAATTGTGAGTTGTGTTGCTTCAAATATTGATGTACTGTATCACTGTAATATGCTCATTTAAGTTCTTTTGCATAAATATCGAGAAGTGGGATAGCTGGGTCATATGGTAATTTCATTCCTAGTTTTTTTTAATTGTCTTTAAATTTAAATGACTGATAATGTATGAATTCTTAAACTCAAAGAATATGAGAAAAGCTAATGTCATACCATAAAATCAGAAAACCATGATAATCAGAATTGGGTTTTGTCTCAGTCTTAAGTCAAATTTAGTATTTTCAGGAATAATTTTAAGAAGGAGGCAAAATGTGAGAAGCTGGGCAATTTACTGATCTGGAGTTTATATTTTATCCCTGTCTCAAATTAACCTCATAGAGTGTTATATGTTATGGTACACTGGAGGAAAATAGACAAAAAAATAGAGTGGGAAAGAAAAAGAGTAAAGACAAGTGATATAAGTGTAGTGGAAAGAGACATATTTACCATACAACAGTCATATTTAACGATATAAACACCTATTCTTCTAAAGTAGGAGAACTGAAGAAGTAGTTTAGAAAGCAGAACTTGGGGTTCATATTGGGCCAGCTTTATGAACCTCAATGATTGTGAGATGCTATAAAAGATATGAGGAAAAAAAATTCAAAGTAATTCTTTTTGGTGTAGTTTAAGCATCACCTGGACAGAAAGGGAAATTGTTGAGCCATACTGGTAGAAGTGAGTCATGTAGTAAGAAAGAGGTCAAACTATTATTTTTAGAATCTCTATGACCATTCAACATTCACTGACTTGAGGCTTGGAGCAAGTCTGGTCCTCATTTCATGAGTCAAATTAAAGGATTTTATAAATAGAATGAAAAATTTTGTGCGCGCACACACACACACACACACATTACAACATCTGTGTTATTTGCACCTTCTCTTCCTGATAGCTTTATTTTCCATGCTATCAAAATTGAATTATAGGATAATGTTTTCTTCTATGGACAAAAGCCAAATATGTGTATGTTGGATCAAATGTTTAACTGTGAATGTTCAGATACAAATATATTCAAGTTCAAATTCACTTTCAATATGTAAGTAAATATGACAATAGTCCTGTAGTAATAAGAATGCTTTATAAACCCTTAGTTGTAAGTCAAAGGATATCTGAACATAAAGTTTTCTTAGAAATAGCCAAAAATAGTATAAATGTGCAGTTGTAAGCATGACATTTTAAGATGCATTTTAAAAGACAGTGCTGTATTTATAACTCTTGGCCAATTTTTCCTGGCACTTTGAAATTTTATTTTCCTCAATGTACTAGGTAATGCTAAATATACTTGATAATAATTTTGGTTGGTTAATAAATTTTGTTGTATAGTAAATTTTGGTTGGTAATTATTTTGGTTGTGATTGTATAATGGTAAAATTACACACATCTTTAGCATTTTGTATTAACCTCCTCTCTGAGCTTCTAGAAATTTCTTGAGGAAAGAATTATCCTGAAATCCTATAAAAGTTTGTGATCTTACATTCATCTAAGAAAAGGTGTTTTGCAAAGTTTTCTGTATTTTTAATTATCAATTTTTAAAAAGCAAACTTTTCCCCAGACTTATTTATATAAGTTTTTCAAGTAAGAGCACTCTTTCAATATCTATATAATAAGGCAAAGTGGTCACTGTGCTATGGGAGACCTTGTTCTGTTGCAGAGAGAAAACAGCTGAATTTACAAATAACATTTAAAAAGGAGTTGGGTTGGCAGGTGTTTAAGAAAAAAAAATTTTTCCATTAAAAAATTATCATAAAACTAAGGCTCCATCCCTGACAACACTGTTCCTTTGCCACAGACACTTGTCAGTTGTCATGTTGCCTTTTGTAATATTGTTTCCTTCATATCTCTCCTCATTTTAGCAATTTTTCATCAGCTGATGTGTAGTAGCCCTTGATCTTCCCTCAAAGAGATCTAGATTTTCATCTATTTGTCATCAAGAATAATTAAAAATCTAAGTCCTAAATCCCATTTGCTATTTTGCATCAAATAGCAATTTTTAAATGGTTCAGTCATCAAATTTATTTATCATCCATCATAAGCATTTTGATTTTATAAGTCAGTGGGAGTTTGCTGAATTCCTGGCATGATTTAACACGGAGTTAACATTAGCAGCTTAAATATATTGCAAATAAATTGCAATAGTTTATTTTCTTAAATTCCCCAGACATATCAAAGCAAGTCTCCTTCATGTCAACTCTTTCATTTAAAAACTGACACAGTCTCTTGATTCCTTTTATTGTGGTGCCCCTCTGAACTATAGTCATTGTTTCTGGACTGCCATTTTCAAACCTTTTCTCTCTGTGAAGATGAGAAGGAGGAACACTAATGGTTCTGATGAGAAAATGACTTCTCTCTCTTGCACATGCTCTGTGCTCTTTATTTGGGAAAACTAAAATTTGAATTTTTAATTAACAAAAATTATTTATTGTGTAACACAGTGATGTTTTGAAATATGTATGCATTGTGGAAAGGCAAAATCAAACTTATTGTATGGATTAATACATATATTTATCACTGTTGTTGGTGAGAATGCTGAACATTACTTACTGATTTTCAAGAAGGCAATGAACTGTTATTAACTCTAGTCACCATGTTATACAGTATATCTCTTGAACTCATTACTCTTACCAAACTGAAAATAGCAATTCATAAACCAGATATGTGTTCTTAAATCACAGATAACTATAATACGCATACTAATAATCCTTATCTGGAAGAAATCTTGCGAAGTACTTAACTACTGAATAGATGTGCCTTGTTTACACACTCTTCAAATAGTAGAAGATTTGCTAAGACTGAAAGCCACAGTGAAAATTTGTCAGGGCACTGCCAATCTTTTGTCAGTGTGCCTTTGTCCTGCCTTTCCTATAATCTTTCAAATGGCAGTCAAGAAGTACTGGAATTGTATAAATGAAAAGTGTATCTAAATCTCCTCAGAATATAATCATTCTAGTTTTAAATAAAAATTGTTTTTGTTCAGTTTACAGCCTTTTAAAAAATTAATCGGTATTCCTCTGATGCTCTTGTTTTTTTTTTTCCCCAAAAACAATCCAAAAAATATTATAGAACCACAGAAGTCTTTTCTAAGCTATGTGAGATAATCCAATTAAATAAAATTTGGATAATTATATTTTAAATATACAATGATAATATAATCAGTACAATTTCATTATAGATAGAATTTGGAAATTATGTCAATGGAACAAAGATGTTTCAAGCCGAAGAGAGAGGAGATTTAAAATAGGAGTTTCAAGAATTAAATTTGAATTTATATTTTTATTCAAACAGTTGAATTAAAGCATAATAATAACAGGAACCATATTCATTGTGATGTTTTATTCATTGACTAAAATTCTGGTTTCTATCAGAAAATTTGTGAAATTCGGAACAAACTAAGAAAAAGCTGGCTTATATACTCTGGTTTTAAAAAATATAATTTTTAATTATATATGTTTATTGTAATGTTTTCAATCATGTTTGCTAGAAGGTACTTTAATTTGCAAAGAGCTAAAATATTATTTTACTTGGGTAGGTCTAGATTTGGCTCAAAGTCATAGTTTTAAACAGTTAAATACCCAGAACAATATGTACCTCATTTTAAGAGTACTTAAAATATCAAGTTTTCACTTTATATGAAACCTGGAGATGAAAAGACTTATCCCATTTCTTAGTATGTTTGCATTATATAGTTGCATATCCTCTTACAATAGCAAATAGCAAATTCCCTGTAAATAAAAATTCTGATATGTTTTGGCAACATTTGTAGTATATAAGACAATTTAAAGGAAACTTAGTGAAAGCTGTGCAAACTAAATTTTGTATATTTTAATGTTACTATTTGTGCAGGCTGCCTTAGAGAAAGAATGGCTAGATTTAGATTCCACCCGCTTCCCTTCACAAACACTGCTTCTCTCAAACCAGCTGCACTGGCCAAAGGTAACATGTCATGGAAACTTCTGAGTTCTCGATCTTTGTTCATTTCTTAAGGTTATGCTATGCTGCAGTGATTAATAATACAATTTATTGACTTGAAAAACATAATTACTTTTAGAAGCCTTTCACTTCCTCCTCATCCCCAGATGTAATTTTTCATGTAGCTTTTCTTTCATTTACTCCTATTTTTTTTCTTTATTTTGGATTTCTTTCAACACTTTATTTCACAGTAGCAAAAAAAAAAATAATAATGATGTGCTTCAGCTGCATATTTGGCAGTAGACTAAAATCACTAGTTGACAGCACTTTAAAAATACAAAAATATGCATTAAAAGGGCAGCAGCTGAAGATTCTCAGTCAGAGGTCAATGGACTGCAATATCTTTTATTTATTTGATAATCTTTGAAGTTTTTGTTTTCTGATATTTTTTAAAGATCTTTGCTATTAATCATTTTACATATGTGAACTATACCAAAATAAGTGTTCTACATCATTATAACAAGTCATGTATGAATTCTCCAGAAATTTCATTTTAAAAGTTTTTAATATTTTTGTGAGTTTCCCTCATGAAACTACTTGGTAACATGAATAGAAAGCAATTCTTTATAAATGATAGAATTTTCCAATTTTCTTTACACTTATTTACATTTTTGTCTGATAAGATCTCTGGAACTTTGAAATATGATGATGCCTCACTTAATTTACCAAGTCATCCAGCTCAAGCATGGCTATGTAATGACAAAGAAAATTGTTTTTCATCAGAACACACACACTTAAATGGCAGGTAAGCTAAATTATTCTCTTAGGAAATCAACCTATAGATGACAAAACATTATATTCCTTAAGCAGCATTACAAAAATAGATGTGAATTTACTTGTTTAAAAGATGGAACAACAATCAATATTAAAAATATCATTTTTTTGAGTTTTCAGTGTAAGAAAAATGTGAGGTAGGTGCATTAAAGCAACTACAAAACTTATGTGTTGACGAAATAATGTAATTAATTATTGCAAACAAGTGGATCTTTACTGCTTTATAGGTGGAGATAAGAATTAGAATAAAAGTCCCAGTGCTGCATTACTTTCAGCAATAGGATTGAAATATGCTTCAAGTAATTGAAATGTAAACATTTAAAATTAATGGCAGACTTTTATTACTTTTCAAGATAAAGTTTTTCTGTAAATGGATTTTATTTCCAAGTTTGAGACAACATAAACAGCTTGTATTTTTAGACCGTGCTGATATTTGTGTTGATTCAGTTAAAAGTCATTTATTTCTATTGCCAGATCAGAAAATGGAACTTTATCCTCGACATCTGAATCTAAGACTAGCAGAAAGAGTTTACTAAGATCTGAAAAAGAAGAAAAAATTTCAGAAGAATGGTATGTAATCTATTCTACACTAAAAATTAAGAAATTGAGAGATTAATAAATGTCCAAGACAGATAATTTTCAGGGTTTGAGAATCTCTTTATTAATTTTCAAGAAACTAAGCATCTGATTAAATGGGAATACAAATTTATTTTAGGATGATGTAATTCAGATGTGTATTTATCTTTACGTGTATATACAAGGCCTGGATATTTTTTGCCTTCATGAAATTCATTTTTTAACAGGGGATTTAAGGATATTTCTACTGCTCAACAAATGCTGAAAAGGGCACAGAAAATGAAATCAAAGAAATTAAAGAAAAAATTAGGTAAGTAATTAATATTCTTTGAATAGTAACTATTTGTGATATTGAAGATAAATTCTTTAAAAATATAGTTTATACACTATTTTAACATGAAATAAATGAATGCACAGATGAATGTCTAAAATAATTACACCAAAAATAAATTTTAAAAAATTAGAGAAAATTACTATGCTATTACATTGAAGGATTTATTGTACTTTTAAAATACTTTTACCCTGTTTCTTATCTACTTTGCTATTTATTATTCTATCTGTTGTGTACTGAGTATTATGTTATAATTTGCTTCTAAAGTGGTTCATTTGGGGGAATGTTGATTCTAAAGAACATCAGCTTCATATTCCTTTGTGTGTTCTTATATTGCTTGATTATTCAGTAAACAGTATTAATTTGTCAGTTTCAAGGATTTAATAAGCTATGAAGATTTTTCAACTTGATACATTGAAAAAGAAACACAATTTATGTGTTTGGGACTGTAGTTTTTGAAGAATTTGGGAAGTGTTCAAAGGCATCTTCTATCCTACTTGCCAGGCTACTCTTCAAATCATGTCTTTAGATAACAATAATTATTTTAGTATAGTTAATTAATATGTGGAAGAGCTTACAGATGTCAGAGCAAGAAATAGCAAGTTATTATGATTTTATTTCTTTATTTAGCACTATTTAAAATTATTTACATACAGCAGATAACTGCATTTATTTGTAACTTTATGAACTGATGCACTAATAGGCTTGTTATAAGTATCATTTTTAAAAAACTGAGTTTTTGTTCATCAGAAAAGAAATTTATGTTCTCCTATAATTCTGTCTTATATGTAAACATACAAGTAAGCACTCAAAAACTCTTTATCTTTATTGTTTTTCTATGTATTATTTTAAATTACTAATTCAGTAGAATTCTGAATAACGTGTGTGTGTATGTGTGTTTTAATGTTTAAAAAAATAGAAATAAAATAACCAAAATACTGTTGTTTTCCACGGAATAACTGATTTATTGGCACATCACTAATCAGCTATTGAGAAGTTACAGAGGATTCATTTTTAGAATTGTACAAGTTTCCTTTGTTGGTTTTATATTAATGATAATTTTATGTTATCTTTTTGAGATAATTATAATTTTGTGTGTATTAAAATTTTGTTGGGTTTTAAATGTTGGGATTTTAAGCATTTTAAAAGAAAATATAAATAAATATTGTGATTTCCAAATTGTCTGTGACCTGCACTCTCATCTAGTAAACTCCCTACTAAGTTTATGAAGTCTCTGTGAGCAGAAAACTCTGTGGAGGTTACCTGGTGAAACAGTAACCAAAACCCAGGCAACAGTCAGACACTCTTTTCAGTTCTGGGGATGTGGTATCCAGTAAAATAAATCAGTGTGGTTTGATAAATTCTTTTGTTGCTCTGATGTCTATTTCTATCCATCTTCAAAACTATGAGAAAAACAACTGTTTTGAGAATTAAATTTTTTTCTGAAACTCCTGGGGCAAGATCAGCTGTGAAAAAGGTTTAAGAACTGATTCAACCAATTTTCAACAAATAATTTTCACCTATTTATGTTCCAGAAATTTTTCTAGAACTATTCTTAAAAGATATTTTTAGTTTTTTTTTTTTTCAGTAGCTTCTGCATTCAAAGCTAAGGAAAAGTTTACCTTGTCAGATTTGCCATATGATTCTGTCTTGAAAAATATTTCTTTCTTACTGATTCTTGTAATCGAGGGGCTATTTTGTTTTGGTTGGGTCCTTTTTCATAAATCACCATGAGAAATATGTATTAGCAAAGGATTCAATAAGCAATATATGCTCACACATAAATATTATTGCTTTAATGGCCACAATTCAATATAATTAAGTTAAAAAATAAAGCTGCTTTTTATCAGTCACAAGGGGGCATGGTAGGGTAACAAATGAAAAAGCACAGCCAACCATCCAGTTTAGTAAATACATCTTAACATTTTGTCAGTGCTCACAAAGCATGCTCTGTTAGATTAAAAATCCTGAGTGGCAATTGTATCATTTTTATGGGGATTATTACTCTTTTTACAGGATTGTAATTCAAACTGCATCTATGTTATTATGTGAGATTTTGAATTTTGCACAATTCTTCTTTTGTTTCATTAAAATTATATTAGATTAAGAAAACAAAAGCAGCATTTCTTAGAAATTCCAATGCCTACATATAACCTATGTATTATACCATATTATTATTCTACATATGAGCTTTATATTATCCTATATTCCTCTGTTTCTCCTTCACAGCAGATACACAAATTAAAAATATTAAGGGAGGATTAAAGGGAACGAAAAAAAAAATCAAGGCAATCCTTTCTAAGGATCACATCTTATTTATCTTCTGTTATGTTAATGACTCATGTCACTTCTTTTAGTTTTGAATAAATTATTTAAGTCTATACCTTAGGTTTTCTTCCTAGAGAATAGATATTTTTCTATTACCTTTCTCAGTTTTATAAATCAGTCAATGTGTGCTATGCCATTAATTTACTGGAATCTATCCAAATAATAGCCATAATTTTAAAATTTTATTTACTAATGATCTAAATCAATGTTTTAAATATTGAAATCCCGCTAAATAGTTAACTCCTTTGAAATTCTTTAAATATACTAGTAATCTTTAAATATACATGGAGATGGTGTGTGTGTGTGTGTGTGTGTGTGTGTGTGTGTGTTAACAATTTATAATTTGTAACTTCAAGCCACCAGAGGGCAACATTGTCCATAAAACTGGCGAGAGCACAGCCAGATCTATGGGAGTTGGTAGAGTGGTAGGAGAGGTGTCAGAGAATAGGAACTATTAATTAGTGCAATAAATGATATAAATGATATCCTACAATTAAACAAAGGCAGTGGTCCTCAAGGACATGGGGTGTAAACATGAGTATGAAAACTTTAATTCAAATTTCTGCCATGAAAAACTGAGAGCAATTTAGTAGCAAGCACTTAACAATATTTTTTGTTCATATCTTTACATTTTTATTAGTCAAGGAATAGAAGTCAATAATATTTGAAGATGAGAGTGAAAATAGGACAAAAGGCATAAGGTGACTTAAATTTTAAAAAAGTGAGGTGTAATGGAATCAGTTGCAGATAGAGGAAGAAACTGAAGGAAGATGTTTAATAAAGATGTAAGGAACTGAGGAAATGTAGTGTGGACAGCTGTTGGGGAGATTCATTATTGATGACTTCTGTTGCTTTAAGTGAAGCCATCTGCTTTAAAGAGAAGGAGGCAGAGTGTAGGACAAGGGAGAGGAATTGATTAGAAGGTATGGGATGAAATCTAAAATTGGGAATAGCTATCATGATCTACCCAGTTTATGTTTGGGTTATAGTTGTTTTTCTCAGTAAATAAATAATTGCTTTTCCCCTCATGAGTGATATCAGCTTCAACCAATAATGACCAGTATTGTTTTTGTGGGTTGTTTGTTTATGCTTTACTGTTGTCTGGTTAGTATTTACAAAATTTGGTGATCTGCATTTGAATTTAGCAGAAACTGAGGATAGTTTAGAATGCAGTACTGCAGTGAAGAATATCAAATGTGAGGCAAGTTACAGGTTTATTGAAAACATGCAGGGTCAATAACCTTAGGGTAGCAAGCATAATTGGTAGCAAGTCTGAGATTCAATAGCTGGGGAAGGGGCGTGGTGACTGGTTTTGATGTGAAGTGTTTCTTAGAATGTTCTGAGTGTATGGATTTTGGTACAGAACAGCTGGTAAAATGTTTAAGGGCTAAGAACATAGGATGCACACATAATATGGTTTTTCTAGATTTATCATATTGATGCATATCAAAATTTCCTAGAGAAAAGGAAGAACAAGATGAAGCAAAAGGTTAACATTTAATCACAGCCAAAAATTAACCAGGTGGAAATTAAGAAAGGGTAATTTCGTTTTTTAATGTGCACTAAGTAGTTCAAGGACTGTAGGAAAGCAATTTGTTTGCAAAATGACAATTTTAAGTGAGAGGATTCAAAAAGAAATATTGATATGGATACTTCTATTGTCTAACTAAAATTATATTACTTAAATGAGATAAGTGATATAGAGCATTAAAGTATAAAGCCTTGTTCATAATAGGAACTCAGCTTACTTATGTAGAGCTTTTTAAAAATATTTTTATTTACTGTCATAAGCAAGCCATAATGGGAGACTCAAAATTTTCTTAAAAAAATAAAAATAAAAAAGTAGCAGACCTGGTATTAATGATCACAGAGGAGTGGTATTAATGTGCAAAACTAATTTTACAGTGCGTGAAAACTGTGTCACAATTTGTAATTTACACATCCTTATCCCCTGACTTTCTACTAGACTGTATTCAGGGTGGTGGGGGAGTAAGAATAGTGTCTTAACCAAGGTGGTATTTCTAGGAACTATCAAAATCAAGTGATTTTTTTTCCTCTATCTTAAATTACCAAAGTGTATCTTGCTTCTTATCATTATCCCTTTGCAATCTGAATTAAGTTTTAAATCAATTTTTGCTGATGCAAGCAGAATGTTTTGAAATGAAAGGACATTTATACTTGGGGAATAAAATTATTTTATTGAATAAATTGAGCTGATTATTTTAGTTATTTGACAGGTATTAAATTTTTTGATCTTGATAATAGTATAAGGAAGTGCTATTGTTATCCCTATTTTACATATTTAAAAAATAACCTCATAAATTGGCCACAGTGGCTCATGCCTATAATCTCATCAGATTGGGAGACTGAGACAGGAGGATCTCGAGTTCAAAGCCAGCATCAGCAACAGCAAGATGCTAAGCAACTCAGTGAGACCTAGTCTCTAAATAAAATACAAAGTAGGGATGGGAATGTGGCTCAATGGTTTAGTGCCCCTGAGTTCAATTCCCCATACCAAAAAAAAAAAAAAATTCATAGATAGATTGTTGCTTGCCCAAGGAAGTACCAAAGAATTTATAAAAGATCCATAGCTTTTGTTTTGTGTGCTATATTTAATAAAAGGGAGATATTATGGATCCATCTATTTCTTATACTATGAAAGATTTATGGTCTTTTCCAAGAGTACAATAGGTTGGAAATATTATAGTTGTATATGTTGTAATATATATCTATCTGCTAACTGTCATTTATTGAGTGTCCACACTTATGTGGGTATTAGATTTGATACTTTACACACATTATTACATTAAATTCTCACAGTAGTTCTTGAAAGTCATTATTATTTCTGATGGACAGAGAAGTCACAAAGTGAGAGCAATTGTTTTTAGAGTGATACAACTGGTAAAAATTGAAACTAGAATCTGAACTAATAATGTTGAATTGCCAGTCATTGCCAAGAGGCAAGAAGAGCAGGAGAATAGAAAGATGGTTATAAGTTATCAAAAGAAGTTGTGAGGTACAACACAGTTTGTGAACCCATAGAAATCTGTCTTCCCTGATTGAGTAATGCTTCTTTTGATATATCAATATTTTTCAAATGATTTAGGTGACACATAAAACTTATTCAATGAAATATACATAATATCAATATTATTCATATTGATAATTCAAAATGAATTAATGTAGAAATATCCAATTATTAAAACACTTTAGGTTGCCTACACTTAGGGAAGTACCCAAACATTGAAATTTTTCTAATGTTAAAGAAGTATAATCTTGGTGTAGTGTGTTAATCAAAATTACTAAGGATAAATTATTACTAAAAAAATGAAAATCATCAGGTTGCTTATATTGGAGAATAACTCTGCAAATGCTATTTATTCTGCTTTTCTAATGCACATTCTAAGAAATATGCTACTTTATCATTTAATTAAAATATACTGTTTAATATTCATGACATTAATATATTGTTTTCCCACTTAGCATATTCAGTTCTATTTTACTAGATATTAATCAAAGATTCTTAAACTCTCTTCTGCCAGATGACACAGAATACTATGAAAATGTGTGCTACTCCAAATTGTGGCTTTGCTACCCTACTAAATGCACAACTTTCCACCCTGGATTTCATTCCCTAGTACTTGCATCACTGTCTTCTTAGAGTTCTTAAGCAAAACCTCATAATACAAAAGTACTGAATTCTCATTTTTCATATTCCAGAGAACCATTTATTACAAATAAAAAGTTACATGCCCTACATTTAAATCACACTTTTTATTTTGTAAAATTAATAGATTTAGGATATTTTAGGCTTTAAAACCTTTAGAGTATTTATACGACTTTGGTAGGTAAATACAATATATTTAGGAAAAAAACACCAAAATTGTATGTATAAAATTAATGAAATAGTCTTTTTTTCTTTGGCCCTCAATCTAATAGCTGCCTTGCTTTCCTGTTCCCATATCCTAGCTCTGTAATTTAGAGGGGGAAATGTTGAACACATGTTTTTTTTTTCTATAATGAGAACTTTATTGCCTAGTTATCCATCTATAGAAATTTTGCTTTACTCTAGAAGAAATATTAGGGATTTTAAAAAGGAGGTAAATTAGTAAATAGTAAAGTATATGATGTCATAGTTTACAAGCAACTTTTTTCACATTATTAGTGTTACTGTCCTTTATACTAAGTATTGGCTATGTGTATATTCAGACAACCAAGAATATTGGTTGGCTACCTTTTCATATTATAAATTGGGAAATGAGATAATCAATATCATTGAATCCTATAGAGGGGATAATATTTTAATACCAGCATAAAAAAATATGTGGTCCTTTTAGAGAAAGAATGACCCAGAGCTGATCTTCTCTCTTGTTCTTTTTGTCTAGATCCCAGTGTGCGCCTAGCATTATTCAAAAACAATGAAAATAAAGTTTCTGTTATAAACTCACCAAAGCAGACACCCTCTAAAAGTGATGGCTACTTTGAAGGTATGGATTTAATACTTGATGCATAGAAAGATTAAAAGATTAGATATTATATTCAGACATATATTTTAATCCTCAATAATCCCAAAAATACACATGGAAAATGTGTACAAAATATATGAATAAAAGTCAAAATATGAACAGGAGCTAAAATACTAATTTAGTGTTTTGATATTTTGGTATGATAATTTGGCATTTCTATCAATGCTTATCTAAATTTTAAATTCCTTTTATCTTATGTGAAAATATAATGGCTGTATCATTAGTGCTATTAATGTAATTTAATTTTACAGTGACATAAAATTACAGTGACATAAAAAATACACTGACATAATATTGGTTTATGTCAATGAAAGTGATCACATGTTAAAATGATATTCCAGTATATCCAATATGTACAAATTTCATTAAACACTATAAATTATACTCCAGAATTTTCATTTTTTACAGTATTCACAGCTTGGTAACTCTCTTTTAAGGTTCAGTATTTGCACATCTAGGTAGAAGATTTCTTCTGATTTCAATATTCAGGAGAATTTTGAACTTACATTATTAAACAGAAATATATATATGTAATACAGCGGCAAGCTTGACTTAAAAACAAAACTTTCACTTGCTTTCTTTTTAGTATTAAAATTTTTAATGTTTTACCTATAATTTTGTAATTTCTAATAGAAAAAATAGGAGCCAGATACATTTTAATGGAAAGAAAGTATTTAGGATTCTCAAGAGTTTATCTTTTGTAGATACTAAGTAAATATTAAATTTATGCATCTTCATGATATGACTGAAAATACATTTCTATTTAAAGAAACATTTGGTAGTCACTAAATTTATTATTTTTTTAGAGATGCTCACTAACATCCATAGGGGTAGAAGACGTGGAGGCTGGAGTTTACATGAAAGTACACAGAAAAAAATACATATGTAGAAAGGTAGATAAAGCAAGTGTGCCAAATTATCAAAATTGTTGAATCTATAGATTATGCTATGTGGAGATTTGTTTTCTAATTCTATTTTTTGTCATTGTTGCTGTTGTTTAGAATTTTCTATGGGAAAACATTTTGAACTTTTGGTGTCCATTAAAGGTATAAAAACTCAATATAATTGTGAGAATTGCTAATGAGTTAATATTTTAATAAAAAAATATATTTCCAATATGAATATAAGGCTTAGGTTTTAATTAGGATTAATTTCCTTGTTAGTTTTCACCATTTCACTGTTTTGAAAGGAAAAGTAGAACCTTTGCTAAAAACAATAACTCCACAGGTATTATCTGTTAAGTAGGATCATTGTTGATTTAGGAAGGAAATGTCTAGGAGTAAAGACATTTAATTTATTTTAATCTTAGAATCAGAAAGGAGAAATCTATCCTAATGAGTTCTGTTGCATTTTCTCCTGTTCTAGGAGATGTTGCCATCTAAAATAGTATATGTATGCTTATGTTTATTAAAGTGTATTCTAATGTAAGATACACTAGTAATAATCAAAATAGTGACAAAAAGTGGCCCATTGAATATGGAACATTTCCACATATGCTTTGTGAGTGAGGATTTGTTTTGTTTTGTTTTGTTTGCCCTATGTGAAATGTGTTTAGTTTACTGTTTCATTGTTTTGTTTTTGAAACCCCAAGTATGTCTTGCATTTCATTTTTCACTGAATGGGCTTTATGTATATACCAGACTTTATATCTAGTGAGTCACAGTTTTTTGTTTTTTTTTTTTTTAAGGATTTAGGGTTTTGTTTTAAGGAATAAGCTTGGCTGAAACAGTTCTATATATAAGAAATTTTTCCCTAATTAATATGTTCATTTTTGCCCTTTGTTTTAAGGGGACCAGTGAGGCAAGAAAATTTACCCATTACTGGTCAGGCTGAAAGCCATGCTATCTTTAACTGCTGCTCTGGACTCACTTCCCAGGCTCATACTCATTTCCTTAGGCCACAGAGAACAGCTTCCAAGTTAGCAGCCTGCCCCAGCTGCCCAGTAGAGGGTGCACTTTGAAATAAGCTGTTTTAGGTACAATTTACATATTACAAAATATAATTTAGGAGTATAGTTCAGTAAATTTCATTTACATAACCATCATCACAAACTAATTTTAGAACATTGGAAGAACTTCCTATTCCTCAAGAAAACATTCAAATAAAATTAATAGTTGGGCTTCTTTTTCTTTCTCTTTTTTTAAATTTCTTCTTTTTAGATACACATGACAGTAGAGTATATTTTCACATATTATAAATATAGTATAACTTTTTCTAATTAGGAGTCTATTCTTGTGGTTGTACATGATGTGGAGTTTCACTGATGGTATATTCATATATAAACATAGGAAAGTTATGTCCAATTCATTCCACTGTCTTTCTTATACCCTCCATTCTCTTCATTCCCCTTTGTCTAATCTACTAAATTTCTATTCTTCTTCTGACTTTCAAAAAAACGTGGGGAATCGCAATTAAATTTTGTTGTAGGTTCAGATTATCTGACTGCATTTGGGATAGATCTGGCATAAATATATATATATACCAGCGTAGTCTTATTATTCCCTTGATTTTGTTGAAATTGTGTCAGTATTATTTGACTATTGCTTTCTATAATTCCCATTTATTTGATAGTAACATTGTATGATGTTAAAAAATTAAATTTAAAACAAAATTTATTTTCCCCCTTGGCAAAAGACTCTGTGAAATTTCCATGGTTTTTATAAATTAAATAAATGTTACTAAACTTCTTTGATTATTACTGTGGCATTTTTCTGAGTATCTCTAGCAGGATGGGATATACTCTGTCTCTGTTTGTCTAGAGTGGAAAATATGGTTAAATTCAAGGAATATTTTATATGAAATAAATTATATTAAATAGATGGAAAAATGCCATTTTACTAGTTTGTGTGTTATAACATTATTCTGTCTTATTCATGAAAAATTTTGACCTTTAACCTGATCTAGGTTGAGGAACCTTTGTTACCTCTGTAACCTAATATATGTTCCATGTGTCAGATGAGACAGTTCTTCCTATACGACTGAGAAACTGGGAACTGTACAGATTTAACATTGGCTTACTTTGATGATTCATTTGTAAACAAATTCATTTGGTTATTTTTACAATCAGGTGTCTACCTTAGTTTACCTTTGTTATCACCTGTAATTGTTCTTGGGCTTCAATATATGACATTGCCTTACAAATCAGACACTTTCTTGATTATTACCTTGAAGATCTCCTACCTAGTTTTCATTTTTTTATCTGTCTTACCACTCTTCTTATTTTTCACTGGTATAACAGGAAGCATAGCTTTATAGGTATAGTTTGTGTAATACAATTTGAGTCTTTTTTAGCTCCAGTTTAATTATTAAATTAATTTCTAGAAGTGGAATTAACAGATCAGAGTATGTGCATTTAAATATTTGTAGCACAGCATTAAACTGTTTTACAAGAGATTTATAAGTTTAAGCATCAGAAGAGTGTGCATGGAGTGCCCATTTCACTCCACCTTCATTGGTATTCCTCACAGTCACATATTAATTTCCTCTTATTAATAGTATTATTTTCTTGATAAATTATAATCATATGCATTTATGGGATACAATATGATGTTTTGACAGAGGTATACAAAGTGCATGATTTAATCCAGCTATTTAATAGATCTATCACCTTGCTTGCCTATCATTTTTTTTAATTTTAAAACAATTAAAATTTACTCCTAGTTGTTTTGCAGTATACTGTGCATTATTGACTACAGTGGATCTGCTATGCAATAAATCTCAAAATCTCTTCCTCCTATTTGAAACTTTGTACCCTTTGATCAACTCCCTCCCTTATTCCCTTGTACCTAGTCTCTGGTAACTCTCATTCTACTCTCTACTTCTATGAGTTCAACTGTATTAGATTCCACATATATGTGAGATCATTTGGTATTTGTCTTTCTATGCCTACATTATTTCACTTAGCAAAAAATATCCTCTGTATTCATTCATGTTGCCAAAAATTACAGGAATTTCCCTTTTTAAGGCTGAATAATAGTCCATTTTGTGTGTATACATGCATATGTGTATGTATGTATGTGTACATATATGTGTGTATGTGTAGACATACAGATATATAGATATATAGAGATAAATATAGTAGATATAGATATATTTGTGTAGTTATATATATGAAGATATATATGTATATCTACACATACATATATATAGATATACATATTTACACATACATATATGCATTTGCTTTATCCATTCCTCTGTTGAATGACCCTTAAGTTATTTACATTGTATTGGCTATTATGAATAACGCTGAAACATGGAAGTATAGATAATTAATTTTTCAACATACTTTATAAATATGCCCAGTAATAGGATTGCTGGATCATTTGATAATTCTATTTTTGGATTCTGAGGAATTTTCATAGTGCTTTTCGTATTGGCTTATATGAATTTACATTCCTACCAACAATGCACATCAGTCCCTTTATTTTCTTTCACATACTGGCCAACACTTGTTAGCTTCAGTCTTTTTTTCTTTCTTTCTTTCTCTCTTTCTTTCTTTCTCTCTTTATTTTTAATGATAGGCATTCCAACTAGAGTGAGATGATGTTTCATAAAGGTTTTATTAATTTTTATTTTTCTGAGGATAAGGACACTTTTTTCATATAACTGTTGGCCATACCTGTCTCTCTTGGAAAAATGTGTGCTATGGTCCCTTGTTCATTTTGTGGTCAAGTTATTTGTTTGCTATTGAGTCTAAGTTCCTTAGACGTTTTTCATATTAACCCTTTTATCAGACATTTCTCCCATTCTGTGGGGGTATCTCTTCATATCGATTATTGTTACATTTGGTATGCAGAAGCTTTTTAATTCTATGTAATCCATTTTTCTGTTTTTACTTTTGTTGCCTCTGTTTGAGGTCATATCTGAAAATCTTGCCTGGACCAAAGTCGTGGGTCTTCTTCCTATGTTTTCTTTTAGTAGTTTCGCAGTTTCAGTTTATTGAGGAAACTGTCACTTTC